GGCAGCACCATGCTGGATTCGGGTTCCAGCTTGACGACCCAGCAGTCCTTGTTGACGATGCGTTGGACATCCGGTGCCTTCAAGGCATCCAACTCTGCTGCCTTTTCCGCCTCTGTGCTCCCCTTGAGCACTCGCTGGCGAAACCCTCCGATGGTCAAGGTGCCTTCCAGCACCACCACCAGGGTGGGCAGGTTAAGATCTGTCCGAAAGAGAACACTGCAAGTCTTCTTCATCCGCTGTCCGAACTGGACGATGAAGTAGTCCTTCATATCCTCTGGGATGCCGGTCAAACAGGCCCTTTCATCGGCTCCGCCACAGATCTCTGACCAGCTGTGCAGCAGGATGTCCCCGATCCGCTTCTGGACCGGTTTCTTGCTCACTATCGCCTGGCACGAGCTCGTGTTCGCGGCTTTCATTTTTTCCTGAACCCAGGATTTCTGCAGGCGGTAATACTCGAGGCCCTGGACGGTCGCCACGAGCTGGCTGCTGCGGGCCTTTTCAAACACGACCGGGGAGTTTTTCTTCAGCAAGTTCCCGGCGATGTAGGAGTAGTCCACGGAGCCTGTCGGCTCCAGGGTGCAGCCGCATAGATCGGCGGCAAGAACTGCGAGGTTTTTCTCACCACCGGACATCTTCTTGTTGGCTGCTGTCTTTGTTGCCGCCTTTTCGCGGTCGTTGATGTTTTTCTTTAACCTTCCATGCCAAACCCTCAGGTCTGTCAGCTTGTCCTTGACAGTTTTCAGCTTGGGCTCGGCAGTGTGGTAGCTCTTAATGAACTGCTGGATTTTCTCGCGGCGCTCCGCCAGATCCTCTGGGCAGGTGCTGTTCTCCCACTCTTTCCACTCTTTGTCCTTCTCATGCATTGCCTCCTGCACAGAGGTCAGCAGGCCGTCGATCTCCTTCACTTTCTCGCTGGTGTCGTCTCGCAGCTCCTGGCTCTCTGTCTCCAGGGTCTTGCCCAGTTCCGTGTCCTGACTTGTCAGGCTGCTGCGCAGCCGCAGCTCCACGTCGCTCATGGACTGGATGGCCTTCTTTCGAGCCGCCTCGAAGGCGAGCTTCTCCAGTGGGAGACTCTTGGGCTTCTTCTCCTGCTCCTCTTTCTTCGCGGCCAGTTGGGCCTTCTTCTCTGCTGCAACTTTCGTGGCCAGAGAAAGAAGCTCCTCGTCCCTGCTCTCTTCGATTTCCTTCAGCTGGCCGATGTCCTTGGACACCGTCAAAAGCGGCACCGGCTTCTCCAGCTCGGCCTCCCCGGCCTCGAACTTGGCCGCAGTCTCGATGTCCAACCGTTGGCGAGCTCGCTTCATCCTGCTCCCGCACTCCTCGTGATACTCCTCCAGGTCTTCCTGGGAGCCGATGTCCATGCGCTGTCGCAATCCCGCTCGCAGTCCGTGGGAATCTCTTCCCCTCAGTTCGACTCCCCGGAATTCATACATGAGTATCTCACCATGTTTCTGCATGGTCTTCGTGTTGGGGTCCTTGATTTTCTTGTCCCAGGCCACTTTTGCCTCTGCAAGAGACGAGTACGTTTTCAGGATGAGTTCCTGTTGTGCCCAGGTGCGGAAGGTTACGAAACACTCGAGGTCGTCCGAGATGTTGTTTTTCTCCCGGACGTCTTCCACAGAACCGACTGCACTGCTGAATGTTCTTTTCTTGGATTGCTCCTCCTGGGCACGTTGCAGTTTCTGGCTTTGGTACCACTTAGCCTTCTCCTCCGGAGACTTCTTTTTGAGGTCCTCCCGGACCTGGAGAGCTGACAAACGCCTCTCCTTGTCCTGCTCGGACTCAGTCTTGCCGACTTTGGGCCGGGCGCTGGCACGTGTGAGCCATCTCTCCGTCGCGAGGCATGCGTTGCACGCCCGCAACAACGGGTTGCGGCCCGTTGCCGAGCTGCAACTCATTGTCGTGGGTTCCTGGCACTTCTGACACACCAGGGGAGCCGACGGTGTGGAGGCAGCTGCCATGCTTCCTTGCTCAACGAGGCGGAGTGCAACGGGCAGCCGTGATGCTCTTGAATATGGCTATGATAGGCAAGGGCATGGGTTCCGGATGTGCGCGAAAAAGAACAAAACCATAGGAAAAACATCCGAGGAACACGAGAGACAAACTTGTCTTTGGGCTTGCATGTAGTGAGCTACTCCCCAAATGTCCTGGGAAGTATTTCGAGGAGCATGCATTCGAATTGCACTAATCAGTTAACCAATTACAAGGTACCAGTGAAGCCAGGCCTGGCTCGGCATGATGCTTTCCTACTCACAAAACCTCATGTCTCTAACCTATGATCATGCAACAGAGTACCAGGTCACTGGCAGGCTTCACCGGCACTCTACTGTGCACACAGAGAACTAGGAAAACTAATTGTAATTCTGGCTAAGAGTCCTTCTCCTCGTGGCTTTCTGAGGGCTGGCCAAGTCTAGCACCAAGGTCCGCTTCGCTTGCTTCCGCAAGACTTCTGCAGGCCACGTCTGGGCTGGTTTTGCACCTACCACAACTGTAGCCGCAGGACATTGCTTGCCTCGCAGTCTGATTCCGATCCTGATGTTGGATGTCTGTTGCACGGTCTTTAGTGGAGTCTTGACGAACTCCGAGAACGCCTCGCCATCTGAAAAGAAAAGCTCTTCCAATGGGTCTCTCACCCCATCAAGGCCAAACTGCTGCGAG